TTATTAATGTTTTTGGTTTTTAGTTGGTCGCGTCCTATATTTTGTTCTGGTTTTGTGGAAGAATTATGGCAACCCTACTTACATCAGATCTAGGATGAGACAGGAGAGATGCAACTTGGATTGGAATTAGTTTACAGTCTGGAGTTAGACAGAAGTAGAGCCTACAATAAAATGTTGCAGTGTAAACTGCTTCTCTTAAGGGTTCAAGACAATTAGATATGCCTTCCTGAAAGACACTCCATTCCCAGGTTTTCTGTCTCCTTTCTAGCAAAAGTCATGTAGGGTTCTGTGACCATAGTGGATGCTCAGTCCTCACTGGATAGCTTTGGAGTTCACCCAAAAGATTTTTATTTTATTTTGATTGTTTTGTACTCTGGCAACGTTTGGATTATCCTGCGTCTGCTGGTATTTATATCTAGGTTATGGCATGGAAATTAGACAAAATATGAACCAAATTTCAATTCTGTAGTTCTTTAATTGGAACTACAACTTTGAAATTCAGTTCATGTTTTCATTTTTATCACATAACCTGCAATATTGTTTAAGCTTTATTCATCTGGTATTTTCTTGATTCTTATGAGACATTGCTTACTATGAAACACTGCTTAATAATTTGTCTCTTTTAACTGTCACCCCAAAAAGTAAAATTTCAATTTTCTGGCAAACTGTCATGGAGCTCGCTTCACTAGTGTTGTTTAGCACTGCTAAATAATATTATTAGCAGGCAAATCTATTGTAGATCATGCTAGAGAAAGCAAAGAAATGTGCTCCATGTCTTATTTCACAATGGGCAGCTATGTGCATGAACTTTGATTTCTCTTGCCATTAATTTATTATGCTGCAGAATTTATTTGAGGGCCAGACTATTAGCCTTTGCAGATTGCCAGAAATAGTGCACATTAAATTGAGGCACTGCCCTGGCTCAGTGCTAGGGAATCATGGGAACTGTAATTTATTGTGGCATCAGAGCTCTCTGACAGAGAAGGCTCAATGTCTCAGAAAAAAATACAATTTCCATGACTCCCTAGCACTGAGCCAGGGCAGTGCCTCAATTTAATGTGCACTATTTCTGGCAGTCTGCAAAGGCCCTATATAGGGCAATTATTGTACAGTTAGCAGTGGTTACAGGAAGAGGATTTGAATTGTGGTTAGCATGGTAGGAGAGAAGATTTAACTCTCCCATATGGTCCCAGTCCAGACAGTGGCATCATTCGGGTTGGCATCGCCTGGCATGATAACTCAGTGTCACACACACCCATTGACCTCCTTAGTAATTTTTTTGTACTAATGTTACTCATAAATCATAATTACCATATATCACTAAATGTAATGGTTATACTTGTGACATAAACAACTTGCAAAATTATACCTTTAAATTACAATATCATACACTCAAACTATGCATTTATATACATATAGTTCATGTGGTTAAAGTGAAAATTTGGTAAAATGTGATGTTTTTAAAGAAAATTTTAAAAGAACAGAAAAATTAAATCTTTTGAAATTAATGTTTTGCTTTTTTAAAAAATAGCACTTTAAAATCATATTTTTTAAAAAACCCAGGGCCTCTCCTTTCTCCTCCCACTTAGCTTCACCTCATTCACCCCATCTCTTCAGTGTTTTAAAGGGACACAGGAGAGTGCCATAACTCATTTCTGCAAAAGAAGCAGATGTTTAAGGAGAAATGATGTCAGCCTCATTTAGGGTGTCAGATGCCACTGAATCCAGATTGTGTCTGCCATGTGACTTGGGAAGAATGCTGCCATTGCTGCTAATGGTTCCACTAGATTTCCTATTAATTTTCAAAGGAGTAGCCATTTTAGTGTTTTGCAGAAGAAAAAGAAGGGAGAGGAGTGTAAATGATAACCACAAGATGGTGACTAGGATCAGTGCACTTGGTTAAATCTCTTCTCTCCCCATGCTGTGGTCATAGTCCTTACCACTATGACTTGTATTTACCAAACAGCAAATATTCAGACAACTGTCAGTTTCATGACTATGGTTCCACTTGGATATTTGAGAACTGTATCTAGATAGAATAAGCTAGTAGATGTACTACTGTTCTCATTCAGTATAAAACAAATTCATGTAGTGATGTTTGCTTATCTGATACAATTAATGGGCTTTTAAAGAAAAGAATATTCAATAAGTAGAAAGGCATACTTTTTAAAACCATTGTTTGTTTCTCTTAATAGATGGCAATGCCAGAGAGAGTTATCCCAGCTATCTTTCAAACCTGTCTTTCTTATACACTTATAACCAAACTTGCTCCTAAATGGAACCAAGCTGGTCACCTTTTAATACAAGGTATATTTCTGGCATCTTTGACATACAATCTTGTTACAGTGGCTATCATGTATTTATATTTATAGTGTCAAATATTTACCATATATTGTCATATTATCATCATTATTATTTTGTTCAGTAATTCTGAAAGTGTTTGACTCACACACAATTTTTGAGAAATGTCTAGAATCTTTCCATATTCTTCCTGATCTTGGATTGCAGTCAGATTGTGTCTATCCCTGTAAGGAGGTTGAGAAAGAACAGTGAAAAGGAATATATGTGCTGACAGCTAACTGGGCATTGTTCAGCTAGGCTATGGTAGCTGCATTTCTTCTTTCTCCATAAAGAACAGGGCAGCATTGTTTAGAACAGGAATAATTTCTTACAGTTCATCAGTCCCCCACACACCACACTGCGTACTTACCACTGGATATTGTAATCTCTATTAAATGGTGTTTGTTATCAATATAATATGTTTATAAGTAATAGAAGCGGACTTATGGAACAAAAATACTTAAATGTGCATTTCAGTCCCATCTATTTTAAGGAATGTACACATTTGCTGGCCAAACATCATAAACACTGGGTGAGATGTATAAAATTATGTCTGGGCTGTTGCAATCCAGACTGTAGAAAAGGCTCATGCCACTGTGAAACACAAATATATATATAAATTTCCCACATAAGGAAAATTAGCACTCCAGATGGAAAGTCTTATGTCCAAATTTCTCTCTGACATATTTATTTTATGAATGTATTGTATATATTGTAGGGACCTGTCACATAAAGTTGGCTTTGCCATCACTGCGGTAATGTCCCATGTGCAGTGCTTTCCCTTTTGTCACTAGAATGTATGGCAGACATGAAATATCCTTAACCAGAGATCACTCCCTCTGCTTTGTCACATGGAAGCAGTTACAAATTCTGAATTTCAAACTTTCAGGCATTCAGAAATGCAAGTATACTTTTGCAAGGTGATATTTTGTGCTTTTATTGAATTTTATGTACATACTTCTTAGAGAGAGATCTTTCTAAAATTATGGAAACAATAGGATTTTGTTTGTATACATTTTGATTTTTAGCGGTATTCTAAGTATCACGTGCCTTCCTTTCCCCTATACTGCATAAGAAATATTTTTGATGCACACCTTGCAAAGGATCATCCTTTTTCAAAATGTTGATTTGTAAAGGCTTTGTAAAGGCCATAGTAAAATGAAATTTTATAATGTGTACCAATTTCTTTTGTTAAGGGAAAGATTTTCTGTCACAACACGGAAAGCAAAATGCAGTTGGTGAGTATAATATTAATTAGTGAAAAATGCTGTGGTTCTTTTCAATCTCATATTATCTTGTTGATGTATATGCATGCATCAGTGGTTGATAAATAGTGAAATTATGTGTACACCAAATATAGAATAGAGGAAATCACAAGGTCCCTAGC